AATACGTGTGCTGTTTGTTAAAGATATTTATAGGAGGCTTGATACTAGTTTTCTGGCTATGACATTTATACCTTTCATTTCCAGGTTTATTTGTTCGTTTTGTTTTTACAATTGACGGGCTTTTGTCACGTGACTCATTTTTCACCACATTGAAAAGAGAATGGATTAAGTCTGTAGAATGTTTTAGAAAACCTAATAAGAATTGATCCCTGACCTGTTCTAGCTAGAAATATCCTGTGAAGAATTCATTTCATTTATTTTGGAGTGTTTATAATTTTTCTTCCTTCCATGGAGCTTTAAGCTTTGCCATAACCGTTAAGTTGATCCCACAGGGGCCCCTTTCACTTCTTCATTGTTAAGGTCCCTACAGCTGTAGCTGTTCTATATCCCAGGCTGAACATTCTAGATCAGGGTTGTCAAACTCGCGGCCCGCAGGCCGGATGCATCACGCGCTGGCCATGCCCTGTTTAGCGAAGGAGGGGGAGTTGCAATACGTCACGTGACAACGCAAGTTTGACATCCCTCCTCTAGATGCTGGGACCCACAGGCTCAGCCTCCGAGAATCTCAAGGGCCCCCATGTTGATTAACCTCTGGTTTTCAAAATTCCTGGTGCTAAGCTATTTGCTAGTTATCACAGTTAGTCCCTTTGAAATACTGGGAGCATGCCTGAAAAGCTTTCCTGAAGCCTGCCTTTAGGAGTTAACCGTGCTTTGTGTGTGTTACTGCTTGCGCCTCAGGTTCTGGGGAGGCCAGGGTTCAGCATCGCTGACAAGAAGCGCCGAACTGGCAGCATCGGGGCCAAGCATAGAATCAGCAAGGAGGAAGCCATGCGCTGGTTTCAGCAAAAGGTAAATTGGCGCCATTTTTAATCACCTCAAACAAGCTTTTTTTGAAAAGTACCGTGGTTAGTCTGCTCTGTTGGTTTTTACATGGGTGGCAGGCATTTCTTAAACCAGCCTTCCCCATCTGGTGCCCTTCATGGGGGACGCAGTGCATCTCTGAGAATCGCCAGACACAATGCTGGAGAGCCATGCTACCCAAGAATATTGGGGATTGTAGTTCCAGCTGTTTGGGAGGCACATCCAGCTATGCCATACACTGCCTCCCTTATCCTAGTGAGGAATGCCAAAAGTATACAGGGAGTCATCCATGTATGTGATAGTGGTGCTGAACACGGGGGGGGGGGGGGGGGGCGGTTGTGACCAATCCTCAGATTTCTGGCCATCTCAGCTTCCCCACAGTGACATGATCTTGATCTGGAAGCATTTTGCATTTACAACCAATTGCAATGCCCTGCAATCTTGTGATCACCGTTTGTTACTCTCCCTTCCAGCTTCCACAAAAAGTCAGTGAGGAAGCTAGCAGGAAAGGTCGCAAGTTGTTGGCTGTCTCACACCTCTCCAGCCTTTGCTGGGTCACTCCCTCCCCCACTTGGTAATAGCCACGTACCTGCCTGCCTAGGACTTGCAACTTCGTGTTGGCTTTTCCACTGACTTCGGTTATGGGAAGCCAACAGGAAGTTGCTTTGCTTTATGACTGAGGGATTCAGTTAATAACAGCAACTGGGGCTGCAGTGATGTGGTCACACTTCGCTAATGTGCTTAGCAATGGAAATTGTGGTCCCAATTGCCATCATAAATTGAGGACCACCTGGGTGTTAAATTTCTCTTAGTGCTTTTTTTGGATTGGATAGTTTTGGAGGCCTATCTTGAATTGTTAATATCTATCAGTCCTTAACTAAGAGAGAACTATTAAATGTAAGAGAGGAGCATGTGCTTCACATATTATAGCAAATTGTAGTTGATACAGTTTTTATTATGCATCATATAAGTCATATAGAATACCCAGGAGCATTGCATTTCAAATGTGCTTCCATGTGAGAAAACTGTTCTTTAATGCACCTCATTCATTCACCCTCTTTTTTTCAGCAACCTATTTGCACAAGCAAAATTTTAAATAGGCTCTTAGTTGCATGGGTTGAGTAAATAGAGCCTTTGAAGACAGCCTCAAATTAATTATCATCCTTTTAGGCCACAGTCCCTAGTAAAATATTGTCCAAGCTTCAACCTTTTTGAGTCCGTTTTGTGATATTATTGTACATACATTCACACATACGTGGAAGTTGGGGGGAGGGGTAGGTGGGATGTGTGAACTTTGAACTGGCTTGAGCCTGCTGTGTGTTCAGACATAGTTTATAAATCTGAAAAAAATAGAATGTGATGGAACTTGCATGTTTAAAGCAGAGCTTGTCTTCTTCTACCTGATCCAATTTCTTTCTTCTCTTTGCAGTATGATGGCATCATCCTTCCAGGCAAATAAATTATTTCCACTAGGAAATAAGTGTGAATAAAATTTTACATTGTTTAATTTACTGTCGTGTAATCTTCTCTCCATGGACTCTTTATATTTGGGCATTGAATTTCACTCTTTGGAAAGAAACCAAGTTCGGTATAAACTATTTAGGGGCAGCAGTGCTGCATTGGGTGGGAGCACATGGGTTTCTTAAAGAGATTGATTTTTATTCATCTGGATTTGGCAGTTTTTGTTGGCATCCGGAAGCCACCAGTATGATCCAGTCAGGTTTGATAGCAACATTAATAACTACGCAAAACACTATTGTTGGTCTTCCTTTTTATCTTTTGTACAACTTGGAAAATATCCAGTTTTCATTCAGCCAATTTCCCTAGATCAGAGTTTCTCAAACACAGCAATGTTAAGATATATGGCATGGCTAGCTGGGAATTCTGGGGGTTGACATCCACACATCTTAAAAGTTGCTAGGTTTGGGAAACACTGTCCTGGACTAGGAATAGACAGTTCCTGGCTGCATACAACCTACCAGCATTCCAAAAATGGCACTGCTGAAAACCTGACGGCCAATCCTCAATTATATTGCTTAACACATTGTAAGCCGCCCTGAGTCCCCGGAGAAGGGCGGCATATAAATCGAACCAATAAATAAATAAATAAATATAATCCTTTGATTTTGTTCCAAATACAACAGCAGGATTGGCGCAAACCAAATTCATTTCTACTCTCTAAAAACTCATCAAAATAGCCAGAAATTTGTAATGTTTATATGCTGCATCATTTCAGTTGTTTCTCTGTGAGTTTGAGATGGAGTGATTTCTCTTCACAGAAATTCCTACTTTTTCTTCTTCCCTGATCCAGAAGGCTGTGTTGTACCATTGGTCCAGTACAATCCCCTTCTTCAAGAAAGGTGAATTCACAGGCTAGACAAGCATAGAAGTTTGACCCTTGCTGGAGTTGATCGACTGTGCTATATAAGTAAATCCCTTGGATTGGTAATTTTGAAGGCTCATCTGCCTATTAAAACATGTCCAGGCATGTCTTAACTCTGAGGAAAAGCTTCCTTCCCTGACAACCAATCTCTCAAGACCTCAAGTCTTGGGCTTAACAATAGACCTCTCTCAGCTGTACATGTTATCCCCTTGTGTTCAATTTGTATAAAAACATTCCTCCTATGCTTGCAAAGTGCGTTTGCTGCACCCAGCCTGCAATTAATGGTCTTCCCCTCCTTCCCGTTGGTCCTCTGGCAACACCCCTGATTTGAAAATGAGTGTCAAAAAGACATGGCAGAAGAATAAATCTTTTCCAATACAAGCTAGGTTCTGCAGCTAAATGAAATGCCTAAATGAACTAACAAAAGGTGGAAAACTACATTTGTTCCAACTAATAAATGTGAGTGCAGATGTCTAAAGATGCTCAAATAACAACCTGCCTTTTTGTGCATAGCCAGCATTACAGAGACTGAATCTTACAAGTGGGTAAGAAATGTTGCTATCCTTAAAAATGGGGCACGTTCTGGGCTCATACAACACAATCACAAATTAGACACCTCACTATATCAAGTGTACTCTGCAAGCTTGTTTGAAGTGGGTTCTTTTTAAACCATTTGATGCAAAACCAGAAAATCGGAAGAATTGACTAAGCCATAGTCAGCTTTAGATCTATCCATGCTGCAGGAACACAACCATTGCAATTTGCTTGCTGTGAATGGAAGAAAAATGTTGACCTGTTGCACACGATACGTTTAAACCATCTTTTGAATCTGGCTAGACTCACAACATACAAGGCTAAAGTCAGCTCCAGGTGTGAACCAACTTATACTATCTGAATCTTAAATTTTCCTGTTCTTGTCCTGTACGACACATCTGCCCCCCCCTTTTTTTTTTCCTGGTCTTATTCCTTAATATTTGCCTCTGATTATTATGCCAATACTTAGCATTACTTTTTGTAAATTCTTGCACCGATACCATCACAATTGCCCCCATAAAGGATGGTAAATGGAGCTACTTTGGTGTAGCGGTTAAGGCATTAGGGTTTGCCACCTTGAGGTATTTCTACAAATAATAAAGATATAAACACATAATGCTGGTTAGAGAAATGTCACTAATGCATGTGTAATCAAGTTTTAGCTTCATAGTATTAAGTGAATCCAGCCCGTAATCGCTTATTCAGTAAAGTCCAAATCAAGTGATGTATACATCTAGTCACCATTATCCACCCCACCCCAAATTAAGGACTGGAAGACATTTTCGAGCCCTAAACCAAGTTCACCTATCCTGTTAAACCCTTTGTTTGAACTGTTTACTGTGTGATTTAAAACCCATGCAATCCTCCCATCATCCCCCATCAAGCTGGCCCATACGCATGTTTGGCGTATCTTTAGAGGCAATGGGGTAGAGCAAAAGTGTCCCAACTGACTACTGGAGAAATGAACAATAGTTCTTCATAGTTTAGTACGGTCCCACATAGAAACCGGTGCTCGTATTTGAAGCATTGTTTCTCTTAGACCAGGTGGGAAATCTAATGGCCCTCCAGATGTCCTTAAAATACAACTCAACCTGTCTCATTAGTGGCCATGTGGTTGAGGTTGCTGGGATCCGTAGTTTACCAAAAAGTAGAAATAAAGAGTAATTCTTAGTTTAATCATGTATAGAAGCAAATAAAGGAGGCTGGGAATATTCACATGACATCAAACTTCTCTGCTTGGTTAATGAGAATCCACTCCGAGCTTTATTTTCTTCAGCTCTTTATCTGTGGTTTGTGGTTTACTTCAACACCTCATTCAGGATATTAGTCATTTCTAGTCAACACGACGAGAGATTCAAAACATCCCAAATCAGCTATTCTGGGCTTGCAAATGACATTGATCCATAAAATAGCCAAATGAGCTAACTGCAAGAAATTTAACCAAGCTAATCCTGACCATACTTAAGTATTTGCAAGCTCGTGGCTTGATCGGGTTAAGGAGACTAGGTGAATAAAGATACGGCTAAATTTAGGGTTGAAATCTGGTTCCTGCTATACAGAACAATAGCACCTCTTATCTGGATAACAGGTTTGGCAGCAAACATGTCGGTGAGCCACGTCACTGGGATGACGGTGGTGTGCATTCCTAACTGCCTAGAGGGGTTTAGAAGTTGTGTGAACACACATGAAGGAGCAAACTGGTAATTTTTTTCATGGAATAGAGCATTTCCCAGGAGAGCTGATCCATACAAGAAAGACGCCGGGCCCTAAAAAGAGTGCAGGGAAAAACCACAAAGATGATAAGAGGCTTGGAGGCTAGACCATGATGATAAACGGCTAAGGGAACTAGATATTTGGGCTTAAAAAAGGCTTAGGGGAGACAAAATAAGTCTTCCAATACTTGTGTAGGAGGTTAGCACCCACCCCTTTCCTGGAAGAGTGAAATATTTTGGGAAATATTAAAAAGGCAGAATATTATGTTTCCCTGTATGAGAAATGGAGAAGCATGTTTTTAAAGACAGCAGCTCCCACCTTCCTGCCCCCACCCTTTTGTTAATGGGCCAGAGGCAGAAACTCAATCTTTGTCAATGGACCTCATCTGCAAGACAATGGGACCCATCTAGGACGAAACTCACCACATGACACCTGGGAAGATTTAATCAGCCAGCAAGGCTAGCTAAGACCCCCACCCCCTGGGAGTCTGACAACCAATCAGGATACTCTTTCTGGGCCCCAGGAAGTTCAAAGCCAGAGAGGGCATAAAACTAAGGGACTCAGAGCATCTCGGCCCCTTTTCTGTTCAGGAACTCAAGCCATGTGATCCTGTCCTCCATTAAACCATCTTTCCAAGCAGTCTCCATGTTTCCAGTGTCTTTTTCCCTGAGCAGAACCCAGAAGGATATTTCTTCCTACACTTGAATGGCTGCCACAGGGAAGAGGGGGATTTATTTTCCATAGCATCTGAGGGCAGGACAAGAAGCAATGGGTGGAAGCTCACCTGAGGGAGAACCAACCTGGAACTAAGGAGGAATTTCCTGACAGAACAATTAATCAGTGGAACAGTTTGCCTCTCAAGAGTTGTGGGTGCTCCATTGCTTGGAGGGTTTTCAAGAAGAGATTGGACAAGCAGAGGGTTGGACTAGAAGATGTCCAGGATCCCTTCCAGCCTGTGGTGGTTACGATTCATTATGAAGAATCGTAGAGTACTAGATGACTAGACTACTTCAAACAAAACACAATGTAGCTGACCTTTAATTAAGGGCTGAGGGGTCCAAAAAACTGGCCACCAAATTCATTGAAAACAGCCCCTCCCCCCCCCAAAGGCTTCCCAATCCTTTAAAATTAGGGTCTAGTTTTGGGCGGAGGGGGTGAAAACTTCAGATTGTATAATGAGGAAGAGAGGCTCGCTTGCAGAACTGAAGCACATTAACGTCTGATGAATCAGGTCTGGACATGTTTGAGTTTTCAGTTCCCCAAAGGAGTTATGTGAAAAGGTCTACAGGTAAATCCGAGCATCAAAAAATGTGTTATTATTGGGACATGAACCACAAACTCACAACAACCTGTGCAATGAGAACTCTCTTCAGCAAACTCAACCTTTCCTGTGAAGCTCCCTGATTCTGCAAGCCACCAGAACCCAAATTTCCATCTCATCCAGCTCCGTTTACATGCTCACAGAGGCCGAGGCCACCGAACTAGCTCTGGAGCTCCGGGTGTTCGCATGAGGAAGAGCAATGGTGCAGCAGGACACCCCCACGGTGCCTTCCAAAAGCTCCCCTTCCTCGGTCCATTCGTTCAGATCGGGGTTGAAGGCATGAATCGTCTTCTGGTATTTTTTCCCACTTTCGTTCCATCCCCCAACGAGGAGGATTTGCCCGCTGAGAGTAGCCACCCCTGCCATGCTCAGGCCGGTGGTCAAGGGAGCCATGAAGCTCCACTGGTTAGTGGAGGGGTTATAGCACTCCACTGGAATGACGTCGACCCTCTCCCCACGGGGGCCCAGCTGGCTACCCCCCAGAACATAGGCCCGGTTGGCCAACGTGGCAGCACAGTGCCAACCTCGAGGGCTGCTCAGCCAGCTACAGTCCCGCCAAGAATCCAGGGTAGGGTCGTAGCTGCAGACGGTCCGGGAGTAAGCATTGTTCACATAGCCACCGGTCAGCAAGATCTTCCCGTCGATGACCACGCTGGCATGGCAGCAGCGTGGCAGCTCCATGTTGGCTTTGGGTTGCCAGCTGTTGGCCGAAGGGATGTAGCATTCGATAGAGACCAAGGTGCCTTTTGCGTTGCGGCCTCCGACGGCATAGAGGTGCCCATTGAAAGCACTGAGGCTGAAGTGAGTCCTTTTGTGGGTCATGTTAGCCAAGTGTAGCCAAGTGCCGAACCGTGGATCGTACCTGCGGAGAAAGAGAAGGATTGTTCTTGAGGATTTGGTGGTATCATTTGGGGACTTTAACCATGAGACTTGGCACAGGAGCCTGGCTTTAGGAGGAGAGCACTGATGCCAGAATTTGGAAGGGACGCAGCGCTAAAAAAGTCAATACAGAACAACTGTGTTGATGTGTGTTGTAATGCACCTGAAAAGGGGCTGAGCTTCAGTTGCATGGTTGAAGGCAGCCATTTGATTTGTCTTCCCTCCCAGACACATCTGGATGCAAAATATAAATTCAGCCCAATGCATTAGGAATCAGGAAAGCAAGGCACCAGAGTAGCATCAAGACTAGTGATTCTCAATCTTAGGAGGTTGAAGATGCGTGGACTTCAACTCCTATTGAAGCTATACTGGCTGGGGAATTCTGGGAACTGAAGTCTACACATCTTCAGTCGGCTAAGATTGAGAATCACTGTCTTGATCAGTGTTTCTCAATTGTGAGGACTTCAACTCTCACAATTCTCACCCATCACCCTGTTGGCTGTGGAATTCTGGGATTTGAAGTCCACACACTTGATAGTTGCCAACACTGGGGAACAGAGATCTAGGGCAAAGTTTCTTGTTTTAATCAATGCCTCACTAGAGGCCTTGAAAGATTTCTTTAACATATCTTTAAAATTCTCTGGGCTTTTAAAGACAGAGCAAAGTCTATTCCAATGGCTATATTCAAATATTGTTTAAACCAGGGGTCAGCAACCTGTGGCTCTGGAGTCACATGTGGCTCTTTCATCCCTCTGCTGCGGCTCCCTGTTCCTGGTCAGCTCCACAATTGATTCACTTAATAACTGTGTTACTATCTTAACAACTGCAGTGATTCACTTAACAACTGTGACAAGAAAGGTCGTAAAATGGGGCAAAACTCATGCAGGTCTTAAAAGGAAGCATCAGAATATCGAGTCTCCTAACTTATAGCAGCAGTACTGTGTTTCCCCGAAAATAAGACCCTGTCTTATATTTTTTTGAACCCTGAAATAGGCGCTTGGCCTTATTATTTTGGGGCACATGGAGGAAACCAGAGGAAATGGCGGGGACCGGCTGTGCATGTGTTTAAATATTTTGGGGGAGGGCTTATTTTCAGGGTGGGCTTATTTTAGTGCATGGGCTCAAAAGCCCAATTGGACTTATTATCAGTTAATGTCTTATTTTAGGGGAAACAGGGTACCAGACCTGGAAAAAACACATTCTTGCTTGGAGATTGTTAGGAAAAGGCACTTCCAAAAGTAAACAGAATGACATAAGATGGAACAATGATCTGGCCCAGTATTCAATCAGCTTCCCATATTAAACCTCTTTTGCTGTTCCAAAAGATCTCACTTTTGTATTTTTATTACCTGCATAAATTGCTAATGGCATGTTTTGCTTGGTTCCGGGCGTCGTTTTGATCTTCACCGCCTGCCACATAAAGGAAGCTGTCCATGACGGCAACACATTGGTTGAAGCATTTGGTGGGCATCTCCGTCAGCTTATTCCAGTTCCCTTCTTGATCTCTGTAGCTCACATCTTTGCTGAGGGCCTTCTCCGCAGAACATGGCCGGCCACCAACTGTCAACAGCACCTTCTGGCTTCCTCGAATTTTGGTTCTTCGGGACTGAAGCTCATTTTGCTGATAAGGAAGCAAATGGTAATTCATGGCATCTACCAGAAGTCTGTGACATTCTGGGTTCTGCATCATACATGGAACAGGTTGGACATAATTGATCAAGTCATGAGCCGGGATTGTGCCGAACCGCACGTTCTTCAGGAGATCTGCCCCATACTTGATCCTCTTGGCATCAAACTCAAGCCATTTCATGGCAATCTGGAAGACCGTCACCTCACTAGGGAACTCCAGATTGTCATCCATCAGCAATTCGTTCAAATGTTCAAAGGTGAGTTTCAAAAACTGCTCGGTATCCGAGAACTCTAGGAAATGTTCCCGGATGAACCTCCTGGCAGCATCTTTAATCCGACCGAGATTGTATGTGTCTGCCATATTGGCAATATACATCCAGTTTTCCACATTCATCTCCTGGATGAGGAAATCCGAGCACATGTTGAGCAGCGCATACATCTGCAGGTGGCTGGCAGTGGAAATGGTGCTGCCGATGGTGTACAGGGAAAGACTCAACTTTCCCGTGTACGCGTAGGAGATGATGGTGGCCAGGCCCAAGGAGGAGATGTCACCGAGGACCACTTGCTGAAGGTTGGGGTCCTTTTTCAGCTGGTTTTTGAAATATTCACTGCAGGAGGACATCACCAGTTTATGAACTCTGAACGATTTGGTTTTGGTAGCAATTGTGAGATCGCAAAGGAAGCGCTCCTGCTGCAGGGAGCTCATCTCCATCAGCATGTTGGTGCCATGGCTAGGATTGGTAACTTCCGTGGCAGTGCAAAGGAAGCCATCAGAACCGTTTTCAAACAAACTGTCCAGTTGATGATGTTGGTCAATGTCAAGAGAAGGATCTTCGGCTAAGGTGACATTAACAGGAGTGTCTCTCTTCGCCGGCTTGCTCTTTTTGGAGCTTTTCTTCTTGGGGGCCATTGGGGCGAAGGGTGGCCTGTGAGATGATATCAAGAAGCTGCTTGGTCAAGGAAGACACATCCTACCTGGCCTATGCCAGCCTTCTCCAACCTGCACCCTGCAAGAGTGGTTTATTAATGACAATATTATTGTGCATTTTCATAAACAAAAATCAAAGCAGAACATAGAGTTAAGTGTTGATAGCTACCTTTAAGGCTCTTTGCAGCCTGGGTCCAAGTTACTTGAAGGACTGGCTCATGCCATTACCCTGCCCCAGCTGTGCTGGCAGAGGAGACATGCTGTGGGCCCCATTGGCAAGGGAATTCTGGCAAGGTGGGGTCCAGGAGAAGGGCCTTCTCTGCCTTTGCACCTACCTTCTTGAACAGGGGTCTCCAGCCTTGGCAACTTTAAGACTTGTGGACTTCCAACTCCCAGAATTCTAGGAGTTGAAGTCCACAAGTCTTAAAGTTGCCAAGATTGGAGACCCCTGCTCTGGAATACCTCCCATCCCCCCCAAGTGAGGTCAGCTCCAACCCACCTGACCATCCATAAGAGCTTAAAGACCTGAGTAGGCCAGTTGGCTTGGGGCTCCAAGGGAAGGGCTGAGAGTTGGGTTTCAGCAGGTTCTGACCAGTTCTGGAGAATCAGTAGCGGAAATTTTGAGTAGTTCGGAGAACCGGTAAACACCACCTCTGGCTGGCCCCGCCCCCATCTATTCTCTGCCTCCTGAGTCTCAGCTGATCGGGAGGAAATAGGGATTTTGCAGTATCCTTTCCCTGCCATGCCCACCAAGTCACACCCACCAAGCCAAGCCACGCCCACCAGGGCACACCCACAGAACCTGTAGTAAAAGAATTTGAATCCCACCACTGGAGGGGCTTCATCTTGGGGATGGTTGATAGATTAGCCAGAAACCCCAGCTCTTCCCTCTCTCATCATATTCCTTCTCCCTATCTTTTTAGCTAGGCTAATTTTATAGTTTTGTATTTATGCTATTATATATTATACACTTTTATCTTTTAATTTTGTAAGACACCCAGAATTACCATGTGGCAAGATAGGCAGCTAATAAATTAAACAAGCAAGGTGGACATTTACAAAAATAAGAGATTCCTTAAAGAGAATTCGGTCTTGAGCTGCTCAGGATCTTATGAGTTAATTTCACAACCCAGCAGCAACTTGGCAATTAATTGGCAGCTACACAGCTGCTGAATGCATGCACTAATGTCCTCCTCTGACAGTGGCACCCAGAATTTCCAGCCTTCCTATTCAAACCTGGGAATTTTGAGACAGGAAGTCTTGTACCAAACATCTGGAGTGGGAAGTGGAAAAGGCTATCTATATTAAATTTTTGAATCTGGGAAAGAATTGTCACAACATATCATTTTTTGCTTGCTTTTGGTTCAGTTCAGAAGAGGTGCTTCATAACATACAGGAGTATGAATGCAGCATCTCTCCATCTTATTAAAACAGCCATGTCTACTTTCAGTGTCCTTTTTAAATGCACTCCCCCATTGATAATCAGCAAAGTTTGCACATTGCATGTACTCTTATCCTGGTTAACTGAACCACAAATCAGTGTTCACATTAATCCAAAATTCACAAAAATCTGGGAATGTTATATAATACACTAGTTATCTAATATGGTTTGCACCTATTAATGCAAACCAGCTGTGATGATAGTAGTCAAGACCTTGAAAAAAGGGAGAAGAAATGCTGCCAAGGGAACCATCAGATAAGAGACACCATAGCCCAGCGGTCACCAACTGGTGGTCTGTGGACCATTGGCAGTCCGCAAGAAAATTTTGGTGGTCCACAGAAAAATTATTTGCATTTTTTATATTGCATTAGATCAGGGGTCCTCAAACTATCCCCTTGGGTCAGATACATGCAATGAATGCTTGTGTTAGTGCAGAGAGTCTCCTGCATCAGGGTCTTTTTATGCAGATCGGAGGGGGGCAGAAATTCCAACTTGGGGTCTGCCTCAGCTTTCTGGTGTGGGGCTTTGGGCGAAGGCTGGAGGGAAGCGCTGCTGGTGGCGAAGAGTGGAGGGCCTCGTTCCAGTGGGACTGCATCATGGCCTGGAAATGGCTGACCATCTCAGCCCGCTGAGCCTCCAGGTGCTGGTATCTGGCCTTGCACTCCCACAGGTCTTTCCTCTGCTTGGAAAGACTATGCTGGTAGTCCTCAGTTGAGGTGCTTCTGCTGAGCCTCCTTCTCATTCAGATCCAATTTGAACTGAGCTGTTTTGCCAACTCTTTCTTGTGGTGGCTGCTTAGCTCCAACAACTGCGTCCTGTTGGGGCTCTAAGAAGCCCGGATAGGCAGGCGAGGAGTGCCCGGGAGAGGAGGGGCGAGTAGAGACCGGCGAGGCACCCCTCGATATGAGTGACATCGAGTTGGCCATGCCCACCCAGTCACATGACCACCTAGCTACTTCCACCCAGTCGGTCATTAAGAAATCATATTAGTTACCAGCTGCCTGCAATTACTGCAAGTTCAAATCTCACCAGGCTCAAGGGTGACTCAGCCTTCCATCCTTTCGAGGTAGGTAAAATGAGGACCCGGATTGTGGGGGCAATAACCTGACTTTGTATAAAAAAGAACACTGCTTGGGTGGTGGCGAAAGCCCTATTAACCAGGTATATACAAAAGTATGAAGGCTATTGCTTAACGCATTGTAAACCGCCCTGAGTCTCCGGAGAAGGGCGGCATATAAATTGAACCAATAAATATAAATTGAACCAATAAATATAAATTGAACCAATAAATAGTGGTCTACGGGATTTAAAATTATGAATTTAATGGTCCCTGAGGTCCAAAAGGTTGGTGACCCCTTCCATAGCCTGCCTCTGGATAGTGGGTGGGATAAGAGCCTCTCCCTTGTTTCTCTGACAGTAAATAAGATAACAGCAGAATTGTATTTTTTAGACTTCCAAGATCCTGTTGATGTAGCTTTCCAATAAAGTAGAATTACCGGTCATGTTTCCTGCCTGCTCTACCTGGGAAGGCTGATACCGGCTGGGTTTATCTCAGTCTTCTACGTCTTGGACAAGCTGCATTTGGTCCCAAACAAAGCATGTCGGGAATCCTGCCTTCTACAGAGGAACATTGGCCTGATGGCGTCCCCAGCTGTTCATGTCCTCCTCCCCTCCTGAGCAAAGGGGATGAGATTGCTGAGCTACTGGGTAACAGACCTGTTTGTAGCAGGACAGAAATAGCCAAGTAGCTGGGGCCTCACATTCCCCACCTCCGAGCTAGACATAAAGATCAAGTTTCTGGAAGGTTAAGCAATCCGTCATTCTTAGAATAGGATGGGGTGGATGAAAGGACAAGAAGTAAATCCCTGTTGCCTTTCCAGGCCAGGATTGCCAATGTTTGCTACTTTTCTTTGCAGCTATGTCTTTAAGACAGTGTTTCTCAACCTTGGTAGCTTGAAGATGGGTGGACTTCAATTCCCAGAATCCCCCAGCCAGCAGCGCTGGCTGGGGGATTCTGGGAGTTGAAGTCCACCCATCTTCAAGCTACCAAGGTTGAGAAACACTGCTTTAAGGGAAAGGTGAGGCACAGGCATTGGCAGGTGTTAATATTTATCACTCCCTCCAGATATGCAGAATGGAGCTTCCCTCTGCTGCTAGAAGGATAGACTGCACCCATGGCCGGGTAGGAAGGTGTTTGGTCCCAGGTATTGTGAAGGTGTCAGTCTTGGCTTTGATTTGCCCGAGGCAAAACACACTTCTTTGATGAAACCCAGATTGGGATAATGACATAGAATTTAGTTGGGGCCACCCTTGAAGACTGTTGGAAGGCTACACCTGGGTTTTCAACTCTAATTGCCAGAAGCTATTTGTTCAGGCCATGTGACTGTGGTAGTATTTAGCAGGCATTTCAACGGGCTCTGTTGAAATTTGGGAAAGGTGGAAGATCTCTAGTTCCTAGGAGGGTTTGGTAAGAGCTGCTTGGTATCTCACCACCATCTGAAATGGGTTTTGTGAGCCTTTCTGTACTTTTCCACATGGGAGCCTGTTCTGGTTTCTCTCCTGCCTAAAACACCTTTTTTTTTTTTATTTTGTTTGAATAATGCTGCTTTTTCTTTTTGAAATGAGTTAATGGTCAATCGGTTTTGTAAAACTTGAGTTTTATAGCATTTAGTAATTTTATTTAAGAGTTGATAATTGCTCTTTCTGGGATTATATAGACTGAACCACAAGCAAGCCAAGTTAGTTTTGAATCAGGGTGTACAAACACAGTTTTGAGTAAGCCATGGTTTAGTTAACTCTGGATAAGTCTACGGGGTAAATGCAGTTTCTATTTAAATATGGATGCTGTGAGAGACGCCGGTATTTTCTCTGAGAGCATACGATAAATTACAGTAGCTCTTTCCATTTCTACCTAATAGTATGACCTGAAAAATACACTGTAATATACAGAGAGCCATAATCCATAGTTAACAAACCTGGATGGCTCAATTTGCATAATGCCAAAAGAAACATGGTATAATATAATGGACCAGAATGGTTATACAACCTCGAAACTTGACACTAAGATACAATGGTTGCATTTGTATTCTGTGCTAAAGTTGGTTAGTTTTAATGTTGGTTAGAGGCAGTAGAGGGGTTGGTGAACCCAAGTGTGAGCAGTTCAATATTATGTAAATATAGAAAACTGAATAATAATGGCTAAGCTGAAAACACTTGTGGATGGGTTTAAGTGGGTTGATCTATGATGCTATCGAAATTTATTTTGTGTGAACCCAAGCACATTGAAGTCAAAAGTGTTTTGATAAGGATAAAATTGCTAAATTGCAATTTTTAAACAATTAAGCGTAGAAAAATAATTTTAGCACAATGAATTAGATTTGGTTTTTGTTCTGGTCTTGGAAGCATGCTGGAATCGAAGCTACGTTATGTTTTCAAGAGCCCATGAAGGTATATTTATTTCCAGATAAATGAATATATTCTGTATGTGTACCATCAGCATATCTTAGTAGTAAGCTGAACAAACCCTTGTAACATTTAAGTCTTCAAAACCTGGTAAATATAATAAGAGAGCCTGTGTGTGCACAACTGCCTTTCTTAGGAAAACGTGAACTTTCTGCTTCTTTGATCTGGTTTTATCA